TGGCCACAAAAACAGCAGCGTGCAATTTTTTATCTTCTCATTAATCCTTGGAACAGTCCAGTGCCGTAAGTCACAGACAGGAATTGTTATTTTCATTAGGATTTGTTTGTTCAATGTATACCTGCTTCTCCCTATAAAAGGCTCAAAAGCGCCTGCCATAAGATACACAGAAATAACACGGTAAGAAAAACTTGGCCATTTGAATACGTGTCTCTAACAGCTGGTTTACAAATTTCTGTGCCAAAGCTTGTTCCTAAGAAGTTTTGAAAGTACATATTTGACAAAGTAAAATGAAAGCGACAAGCGGAAACAAGTTTGTTTTTGTGGAACACATTTATTGCATGCAAATTCCGCATTGCTATTCAGTGGAACATCAGCTCCCGAACGCCTTGGGAGGCGAACGTTCCGGCTCCTGAACGATCGAAAGCCAGAAGTAATTGTTCCGGTTTTTTAACGTTCTTTGAAAATTGAACGTCCGGTGTGGCTTCCGAGGCTTCCGATTGGCTGCAGGAAGCTCCTGCAGCCAATTGGAAGCTGCACCTTGGCTCCTGAACCGTTTTGGGAGTCAAAAGGACTCCCGTAAGGGATTAAGTTCGGGAACCAAGGTTCCACTGTAATTACCAGAACCAGGAATCTTTGGGTGAACCCTTGCATACAAAACCAGAATTAGATTCTGGTTTGTTAATGGAAATTATAAACCACAGTTTCCCATTGCATCTGAACCAGGAAACTGTGGTTTAAACAAATGTTGACTTAAAGCATGCACAAAGGTAGGGGACGAAGCCGCAGGCAGGCAGTCATGATGCTTCTTCTTAGATCTGATAAGTCACAGTTTAATGAATAAAATTAAGAGTGTCACACCTGAACCAGGCCACACAGATCTGGGCAAGTCATCAACTCTTAGCCCACCTCACAGGGCAGTTGTGAAGGTAATACTGAAATGAGGACTGTGCATACTGCCTTGAGTTCTTTGGGGGAAAGGTGAGATATAAACGTAACCAATAAATTAAAAGGATACATAAATAGAAGGCGCTCCCACAAATCAGCACTGAAATCGCTTAAGACACTCATTCTGCATGTAGCGAGTTAGGCAAAAATAGTGGCTGTCTAAGGGGAAAAGCAATATAACTAAGGTTGGGCTGAATTTACTGCCTAGCATTTTGGAAAGCGGAGGGTGGATAAGACAGAGCACATATGGAATTAAGAGTGGTTATCTAGGCATGTCGAGTAATGAGCCCTTGGAACAAGAAGAGAAGCAGCTAAAGCGAGGGTCATGGGAAAGAGAAGCTTCGCTCACCCCTTTTCCTGGCAAGATTTTCTACACTTGGGTGGAGAGCAATTTGTGTTTTGCAAGAATGGGGAAAGGAGGCGGAGGACGACAACAGAATTAGAGAGCCATCTGCATATTTGGTTAAAAAGGAAAAAAAGGATGAAGAAGGGGGGGAGCCTTTTGCTTTAAAGGAAATGAAACACATTCTGCAGCAAATTCCATCGATCCTTAAGAAGTCAGTGACACACAGCCGCTGATTAGCTTTCTTTGATCTTAAAGCTCAGATCGCTCACATGACGTTCAGGACTGCAAAAAGCAGTTGGTTCCTCTTAAGCACACATACAAAGCAAAACTGATGTGTGCAACTGCTGTTTACGAATGGCCAGGACCCAACAACTCTTGAACCCTACGTTCACTCCTGGGATTCAGCAAAACGAAAGGGGGAGGGAATGGAGATAACTAGGCTTAGCCCACTGACAAGGAAGCTTCAGGCCAAAGAGTTCAAAATAGTTGGAACACCCTGTGCAAAATAAGGCCCTTACCGTGTAGTTAAGCAGAAGACACTCTTTATATCCTGGCATTTAAAACTACACGTTTCAGTGAAGAGAGCTGCTCTCATCCAAATCGCAGGCTAAACACAAAAAGATGCTCAGATGCAATTAGGATGAGAGCAGTAACACAACTTCTATAGTAACTCGCCACCCCAGAATTGCGCTGCAAAGGACACACACCCTACATTTAAAGCACTGCCTTTCTCGAAATATTTTTGGGGCATTGTGGTTTGCCAAGGGGGCTGAGAGTTGCTAGGGGGCTGCCATTCCCCTCACAAAGATGCAATTCTTAGAGCTCCCTGGAAAGAGGGACTGATTGGCAAGCCACTCTGGGAGTTGTGGCTCTGTGAGGGAACAGCGGTATCATAATGACTCTCAGCACCCTTGAGCATCCACCAGTTTTTCCAAATGTTTCGTCGGAATCTCCTTTCTTGCAACTTGAAGCCATTGGTTTGAGTCCTAGCCTCCAGAGCAGGAGACAACAAGCATGCTCCTCCATGTGACAGCCCTTAAGATATTTGAAGATGGCTATCATATCTGCAAGGGACGCGGGTGGTGCTGTGGATTAAGCCACAGAGCCTAGGACTTGCCAATCAGAAGGTCGGCGGTTTGAATCCCGCAACGGGGTGAGCTCCCGTTGCTTAGTCCCACGTCAAAGTGCAAGTAGATAAATAGGTACCGCTCCAGTGGGAAGGTAAACGGTGTTTCTGTGCACTGCTCTGGTTTGCCAGAAGCGGCTTAGTCATGCTGGCCACATGACCCAGAAGCCGGCTCCCTCGGCCAATAAAGCGAGATGAGCGCCACAACCCCAAAGTCAGCCACGACTAATGGTCAGGGGTCCCTTTACCTTTAGCATATCTGCTCTCAGTCTCCTCTTTTCCAGGTTAACCATACCCAGCTCCTCCAAGCGCTCCTCTGCGCAAGTTCCAGCTTGTCAACATTCTTCTTAAATTGTAGTGCCCAGAATTGGTCACAGTACTCCAATTGTGGTCTGACCAAGGCAGAATAGAGTGGTACTGTTACTTCCCTTGATCTGGACACCATACTTCTGTTGATGCAGCCTAGAATAGTATTAGCTTTTTTTGCTGCTGAATCACACTGTTGACTCATGTTAAGTTTGTGGTCCACCAAGACCCCTAGATCCTTTTCACATGTACTGCTAGTAAGCCAGGTGTCCCCCCATCCTGTATTTGTACATCTGGCTCTTCCTACCTAAGTGCAGAATCTTACATTTGTCCCTATTGAAATTCATTTTGTTAGCTTGTGCCCAGTTCTCCAATCTGTTACGGTCATTTTGAATTCTGATTCTGTCTTCTACAGCATTAGCTACCCCTCCCAGTTTGGTGTCATCTGCAAATTTGATGAGCATCTCCTCAATTCCTTCATCCAAGTCATTTATAAAGATGTTGAACAACAACTGGCCCAGGACAGAACCCTGCAGCACCCCACTTGTCACTTTTTTCCAGGATGACAAGGAACCATTAAAGAGAACTCTTTGGGTTCGGTCAGTCAACCAGCTACAAATCCACCTAATAGTAACCTTGTTCTACCCACATTTTACCAGCTTCCTCGCGAGAATATTGTAGGGGACTTTGTCAAAAGCCTTACTAAAATCAAGATACACTATGTCCACAGCATTTCCCTCATCCACCAAGTTTGTAATTCCATCAAAAAAAGAAATCACATTGGTCTGGCATGACTTATTTTTGAGAAACCCATGCTGGGTCTTAGTAATCACAGCATCCTTCTCTAAATGTTCACAGACCAATCTGTTCTAGCGCCTTCTCTGGTATCGACTCCAAGCTCACCTATCGGTAGTTACCTGGGTCTTCCTTTTCTCCCCCTTTTTGAAAATGGGGACAACATTTTCCCACCTCCAGTCTGTAAGGACCTCACCTGTTCTCCAAGAATTCTCAAAGATAATAGACAAAGGCTCTGAAATTACATCCGCAATCTCCTTTTATTGCATCACAACGATGAACTTGATTGCTTGCTTTGAAGCAAAGGTATAGAATCCATACCTACCCTGTAGTTCCCTGAGAAATGCTGTCTGTCTGAGCTCCATAGCAGGAGGCAACTTGCAGACCAACTGTACTTCCAAGGCTGCTATCAAAAGCACATTCGCTTGGCCCTACTGAAATGATTATAGACTTCACACAAATGAAGCTATAAAGCCTTCTGCTGTTGAATCATGTTTAACTATGTGCCTTCCCCCAGAAATTTCTAAAGCTCTAATGCTACAAAACAGCCTCATTGGTTTCAATGGTGCCACATTTGACCATTGTACTGAAAATGTAAACAAACAATTGGCAATCCCAGGAAAATCCCATTCGCAAGGGCAGGTCCACTGCATTATAATTGCTGCAGGAAATGCCAGCCTTACACATTTGATCAGGGACATAAAACAAGCACATGCACCTATCTGTGAGAACTGGATTGGACAGTGTTACCAAGCAAGTGTAAATGGGTTTTTTAAAACAATGCACACATTGCATCTATATACAGTGGTACCTTGGGTTACATACACTTCAGGTTACAGACGCTTCAGGTTACAGACTCCGCTAACCCAGAAATATTACCTCGGGTTAAGAACTTTGCTTCAGGATGAGAACAGAAATCGTGCGGCGGTGGTACGGCGGCAGTGGGAGGTCCCATTAGCTAAAGTGGTGCTTCAGGTTAAGAACAGTTTCAGGTTAAGAACGGACCTCCGGAATGAATTAAGTACTTAACCCGAGGTACCACTGTATTACATACTGGTTTGGTGTTTCCCACAATAATCGCAGCATGCGGAGTTGACCCCAGAACAGGGGTCAGCAAACTTTTGCACTGTCCCTCAGACCTTGTGGGGGGCCGGAATATATATATATATGGGGGGTGAACGAATTCCTATGCCCCACAAATGACCCAGAGATGCACTTTAAATAAAAACATGCATTCTATTCATGTAAAAACACCAGGCAGGCCCCACAGATAACCCAGATATGCATTTTTTATAAAAGGACACATTCTACTCATGTAAAAACATGCTGATTCCCGGACTGTCCACGGGCTGGATTTAGAAGGGGATTGGCCCCCAGGCCTTAGGTTAGGTTGCCTACGCCTGCTCTAGAATCGTAGAATTGTAGAGTTGGCAGGAACCTCTAGGGTCATCTAGTCCAACCCCATGCAATGCAGGAATCTTTTGCCCAATGCGGGGCTTGAACCCACGATTCTGAGATTAAGAATCTCATGCTCCACCAACTGAGCTATCCCTCACTGAAGGTCACATCTGGGTTGCACCACCCTACTGAGGCTGCAGTTCTAAGCATCTTCTGGAATAAGCTGCGTCACATTCCAATGTCACCCAGCTTCTGAGATACAGAGACAAACAAACCAAGCAGCCAAAAAAAATTCACATAGGTAGAAATTTGATACAGCTGGCTTCTGAAAGTGAATTGCAGAAGGAAAAGTAAAGGTTTTGTTTAGGCTAAACAAAAAATAAAACAAAACAAAACTTCGCATGCACAACAGGTCTGAATTGGCAGTGAATGAGTAAGAAAGAGTTGTGGAAAGTATCAGCCAGTGTTCAGCAGCTGTGAAAAGAGGTGAGTTCTGTGTGAGGTATCATTGGGAACTGAACATAAGACTGCCAATATCACAACGCTGTTATATAAATCTAAGGTGTGACTATGCTTGGAATACTCTGTACGGTGCTACCTCAGGCTAAAAACTTAATTCATTCTGGAGGTCCATTCTTAACCTGAAACTGTTCTTAACCTGAGGTACCACTTTAGCTAATTGGGCCTCCCAGTGCTGCCACGCGATTTCTGTTCTCATCCTGAAGCAAAGTTCTTAACCCGAGGTACTATTTCTGGGTTAGCGGAGTCTGTAACCTGAAGCGTATGTAACCTGAGGTACCACTGTACAGCTGTGGTTGCGACGCACATAAAAGAGGCTACTGTAGAGCTCACAGATGTGCAGAAAAGGGCATCCAATACTATCAAGGGGCTGGAGAAACTCTCCTCTATGAAGGAAGGCTGCGTTTAGGCTGTTTTAGTTTGGGGAGTGGGGGAAGGTAAGGAGGGTCATGATAAATCATATAAAATTATGTATAGTGTGGAGGAAACAGCTAGGACAGAATGGCTCAGAAGAAGTTTTTCCATGTCTCGTAGCGTTATTTAATTGTAGCACCCCAAAGCAGTTTACAAAATGAACCTCGGAAATATTAGAAAATTAGTAAAACTCATGGTCATCCAATGAAGCCAAATGTTGGAAGCTTCAGGGCAGACAAAAGAGAGTATTTACTTCCCACAGCTGGGATAGCTCAGTTGGTAGAACATGAAACTCTCAATTTCAGGGTCGTGGGTTTGAATCCCATGTTGGGTGAAAGATTCCAGGGTTGGGCTTTTGTTTTGCCCCCCGCAGTTTGGTCAAACTCATGCTGGTAGCTTCGAGAACACTATCCAACCATCTCGTCCTCTGTTGTCCCCTTCTCCTTGCGCCCTCCATCTTTCCCAACACCAGGGTCTTTTCTAGGGAGTCTTCTCTTCTCATGAGGTGACCAAAGTATTGGAGCCTCAGCTTCAGGATCTGTCCTTCCAGTGAGCACTCAGGGCTGATTTTCTTCAGAATGGAGAGGTTTGATCTTCCTGCAGTCTGTGCGACTCTCAAGAGTCTCCTCCAGCACCATAATTCAAAAGCATCAATTCTTCGGCGATCAGCCTTCTTTATGGTCCAGCTCTCACTTCCATACATCATGTCAGGGAACTGTCATCGGAAGGAAGGGAGGTGAAAGGACTCAGACAGGTTGGAAGAGACTCAGCAGCGGAAGAGGGAACCAGCAAGGGGAGAGAAGCTGAACTGAGGGAGGTGAAAGGGCTCAGACAGGTTGGAAGAGACTCAGCAGCTGAAGAGGAAACCAGCAGGGGAGAGAAGCTGAACTGAGGGAAAGGGAGCTGGGGGATGGCTCAGAGATACTTCCAGCGAAAACAGTGGTGAGGTTTCCGGACCTCCTGTTGGGACACCCACTCCTCGCCGGAAACTGTCACGCAGAGAGTCCAGAAGACGTGTTTCCGTTAAGGAGCTTTTATGTTGGAAGCGATTACGAAAGCAGCCACTGTCGGAATCTTCTAGTGACTAGAGGAGCCATGTCAGAGGGGCTCAGTCACAGACAGAGGTTTGTGGACTTGAACAAACTCTGAGGGAATACGATTTTACGCACAAGCAGCTCATCTTCCCATCACAGCATTCCGACAGTCTTTGAACGCAGCTTGTGCAGGAGAAGGCATAATGAGCAACCCAGCAGGAACCGGAGAAGCAGGGGCTGGAGCGGGTCCAAGCCTGGAAGAAAGGTACCGGGTGTTGGAGGTCCAGCTGGCGCTGCAGACGGCGAGGCTGGAGGAGAGGAGGGCTCAAGATGCAGACAAAAGGGAGAAAGCCACCCAGCTCGCCAGAAAGGTACCAGGATTGGTGCAGAAATTTGGGGGGGGAGCCCAAAGACTATCATAGCTTTCGGACAGAAATGCAATATGCCCTCAATCTGCAGTTTGATGATTTCCCTGATGAGGAATCACGAGTGGCTTTTGTGATTGGGCATCTTGAAAAGGGGGCGAGAGACTGGGTTAGACCCCTGATGGCAGCGCATAGTGACGTCCTAAAGGACACGATGAAGTTCTTTCGCGCCATGGATCTGATGTTTTCCAGCGATATTGAAAAGGGAGTGGTGCGCAGACAGTTAATGGCTTGCAAACAGGGGAGCCGATCTGTACGTGAGTACTGGACTGAGTTCACCATGCTGATACACAGATTGGGGTGGGACTTATCGGCGGAACCCATTCAAATGCTCTTTGAAGAAGGGCTTTCTTCGGCTGTGAAAGATGAACTTTCCCGGGCGCCCAGGGCGGAGTCTATGGACCAGCTGACCAAATCAGCGCTGGCCATAGGAGCGCGCCAGGAGGCGAGAGCATTGGAGAGGCGGGAAGGGAAAGGGGAACGTTGGAAGGAGTTCCGCATTCCAGACATTCCAGAGCCAACTTTCCCGCCGGCAGAGCCGATGGAAATCGGAACAGCGCGCGCGCGCAGTTTCAAAGCCCAGTGAGGGGGGAAAAAAGGAGGGAAAAGGCGCCCGGAAATGCTATCTCTGCCAACAGCCAGGGCACTTTGCCAGAGTCTGCCCCCAGAGGAAGGAATGGCAAGGGATGGTGGGAGCTGTGGAGGGAAGAGAGGAAAAGATACCGGAGCAACTAAAAGCCAACGCCTGGCTGCCATTGTCGGGCACAGCAGCCAGGCCAAAGAGCAGTGAAAGTGCCCACGCCAGAACCTCCTAAACCCGCCCTAGTGATAGAAGTGACACTAGAGCTGCCAAACGGACACCCTCTAAAGATAAAGGCGCTGTTGGACTCAGGCAGCTCCTGCAATTTCATGAGCAAAGAGTTTGCAGCTGAACACCAGATACAGACGCTCCCTTTAAGCAACCCCTGCAGGTAACCACGATCGATGGCAGGGAGCTGTTGGGAGGAGAAGTCAGCTTGCAGACCGTCCCAATGATAATGAAGGTGGCAAGGCACACCGAACTCATTGCGTTTAATGTGGCCACCTTGGGAGGAGCTCCCATTATATTGGGGATGAGCTGGCTAGCGTTACATGATCCGCTGGTGGGCTGGCATCAAAGAGTGGTTTCTTTTGGGTCAGCACATTGCTTAGAACACTGCAAAGAGGGAAAGGTTTTGGCAGGGGCCCAAGCCACCCTAGCAGGGACTGAAGTAACGGAGAACGTGAAGGTACCACGACAATACGCAGATCTCCGCGACGTCTTCAGCGAAAGGGAAGCTGACCAACTACCACCGCATAGAGCCTTTGACTGTCAAATCAATTTGCTCCCTGGGGCACAGCTCCCTGTGGGCAAGCTGTACGCCATGTCAGACAGAGAGATGCAGGAGCTAAGAGAGTTCATTGACAAGAACCTGAAGAGAGGGTTCATCAGAGAGTCCAGGGCGGTGGGGGCAGCCCAGTGTTTTTGTGGACAAAAAAACACGAACAAGCCGAGACTGGTGTGTGACTTCAGGGCCTTAAATGCAGTGTCAGAACCAGTGGCCTTCCCGATGCCCAGGATTGACGACATTTTGACAAGGGTGCGGAAGGGAAAGATTTTCACCAAGCTGGATCTAAGGGGGGCGTACAACCTGATACGAATAAGGAAGGGGGATGAATGGAAAACCACCATGTTCACCCCTTTAGGGGCATTTGAATACTTAGTTATGCCCTTCGGTCTACAAGCAGGCTCCGCAACATTTCAATCGTTTATGAACCACGTCCTGGGGCCGTTGCTTTACAAGAATTGTGTGGCCTTCTTAGACGACGTGTTGGTGTATTCTGAGAATGAGGAGCAGCATGTGAGAGACGTCAGAGAAGTGTTGAGCAGGCTGCAAGCCAACCAGCTGTGGGTGAAACTGGAGAAGTGTCAGTTTCATACCAAGGAGGTGGAATTCCTGGGGTATCGCCTGTCTGACAAGGGGTTGGCCATGGATCCCGGCAAGGTCCAGGCGGTACTGGAATGGAAAACACCCAAAACAAGGAAGGATGTGCAGAGGTTTTTAGGATTTGGGAACTTCTATCGTAAGTTCATCCCAAACTTTGCCCACCTGACGGCGCCCATTACGGACTGTCTCAGCAGTAAGAAGAAGTTCGTTTGGACGGAGGAGGCGGAGCAAGCATTTGAGGAACTAAAAAGGGCCTTCGCCTCGGAACAACAGCTCCTGCATGTGGATTTACAAAAACCGATGAGAGTGGAAACTGACGCATCAGACAGAGCGGTTGGGGCGGTGCTTCTCCAGCCAGGGAAGGAGGAGTCAGAGTGGAGACCGTGTGCTTTTTTCGCGAAAGCTGAACAAATCCGAGAGGAACTACACGGTGTATGACCGAGAACTACTAGCCATTCATGAGGCGTTCCGGAGATGGAGGCACCTGCTAATTGGCGCACAACATAAGGTGCAAGTGTGCACTGACCACAAGAACCTAGAGTATTGGAGGACGGCACGAGTGCTCAACCAACGGCAAGTGAGGTGGGCCCAGGAATTCTCCAAATTTAACTTTGAGATTTGTTACGTGCCAGGCCCAGAGAACATTAGGGCGGACGCTCTCTCACGCAAACCTGAATATTTGGAGGGGAGGGAGCACCCGAAGAGAGACATGTCATTCCAGAGGACCGCTGGGTGTGTGGGGCGGCATTGGTGGGACAAAGAGAACTGGTAGAAGAAACAGAGAATGATGAATACGCCCAGAATAAGCTCAGAGGTCTTAGGGATGAGGGAGAGGAATCAAGGGGTTTCGAGGAAAGAAATGGAGCTTTGTATTACAAAGGGGCACTGTATATCCCTGAAGGAGACTTAAGGGGGAGGGTACTCAAGCAGTTGCATGACAGCCCCACGGCGGGCATTTTGGGCAACACAAAACCATGTGGTTGGTCACCAGGGAATTTTGGTGGCCTAAGGTGAGGGAGGATGTACGTGAGTATGTAAGAGGGTGCGAGCAGTGCCAGCGAGCCAAAGGGGAAAGGCGGGCGCCGGCCGGGCTATTAGAACCCTTACCAACACCAGAACGACCTTGGGAGGCAGTGTCGATAGATTTTATGACTGATCTGCCGAAGTCCAAAGGGAAAACAGCCATCATGGTGGTGGTAGACCTACTAACAAAGATGTGCCACTTTGTAGCTTGCTCGCATGCAGTCACGGCGGAAGAGACAGCGAAGTTATTTGTAGAACACATTTTTAGGTTGCACGGGGTGCCATTGAGGGTGGTCTCAGACCGAGGAAAACAATTTACTTCCAGGTTCTGGAGGAAGCTCATGAGCTTACTGCAGGTGGAGGTCAACTTTTCGACTGCCCGGCACCCTGAAACCAACGGGCAGGCGGAAAGAGCAAACGGTGTCCTCCAGCAATACCTGAGGTGTTATGTCAATGACAGAGAGAATGACTGGGTAGAAAAGTTGGCGCTGGCGGAATTTGCCTACAACAATGCCGAGAATGTGTCCACAGGGATGAGCCCCTTCTTGGCTAATTATGGGTGTCATCCCAGGGCTTTCCCAGGGGCAGACGGGGAGAGATGGAGCGCACCGGCAGCCGAGCATTTTGTAGAAGAAATGGAAGCAATCCACCGTCAGCTCCAACTCAACTTAGAAAGGGCGAAGGAAGAATACAAGAGGCAGGCAGACAAGAACCGAAGGGAAGGTGAAACCATAAGGGTTGGAGATAGGGTGTGGCTGTCAACCCGAGGGCTGCCGCTCAAAGGAGGTTGTAAGAAATTAAGACCCAGGAGGTTGGGTCCCTTTGAGGTCATTCAACAGGTCAACCCAGTGGCTTTCAGGCTCCGGTTACCCAACCACATGAAACTGCACCCAGTATTTCACAGGTCGTTACTGTCACCGTACGAGGGGGGACGAGAAGGGATGGCCACTGGGACCGGTCATAGAAGAAAGAGAATGCAGCAGTCATGTGGCAGAAATCCTTGATGCCAGGTGGAAGGGGAATCAGGTGGAGTATTTGGTAGCGTGGGAAGGAGAACCGGAGTCAGAAAACACGTGGGTAATGGCCGAAGATATCAATGACGAGGTATTGATAGAAACGTTCCATCAAAGGTTCCCGAGGAAACCTCAGCCTGTGGAGAGGTTCCGGAGGGAATACTTTGGGACCACTGAGGAGGAGGAGGAGTTGGAAGGATTCCCAGAATCGGAAGGGGAAGGGGAGATGGACTCGGAGGAGGAGGAGTGCTTCGAGACCAGGAACCGCAACAGGTGGAGAGAAGTGTTCGAGACATCGGAAGATGAAGGAAGTTCATTCCGGGTTTTGCCTCCTCACCGCCCGTAGAGGAGGGGGCGAGAGGGGGTGAAGGGGGCCCTGGAGGGGAGGTGGATGTCAGGGAACTGCCATCGGAAGGAAGGGAGGTGAAAGGACTCAGACAGGTTGGAAGAGACTCAGCAGCGGAAGAGGGAACCAGCAAGGGGAGAGAAGCTGAACTGAGGGAGGTGAAAGGGCTCAGACAGGTTGGAAGAGACTCAGCAGCTGAAGAGGAAACCAGCAGGGGGAGAGAAGCTGAACTGAGGGAAAGGGAGCTGGGGGGATGGCTCAGAGATACTTCCAGCGAAAACAGTGGTGAGGTTTCCGGACCTCCTGTTGGGACACCCACTCCTCGCCGGAAACTGTCACGCAGAGAGTCCAGAAGACGTGTTTCCGTTAAGGAGCTTTTATGTTGGAAGCGATTACGAAAGCAGCCACTGTCGGAATCTTCTAGTGACTAGAGGAGCCATGTCAGAGGGGCTCAGTCACAGACAGAGGTTTGTGGACTTGAACAAACTCTGAGGGAATACGATTTTACGCACAAGCAGCTCATCTTCCCATCA